GGTGAGGGATCGTTTTATGTAACGTTGGGATTTGATTTCGTGTTAAAACGGGGTATTGCTGTCATTCATAGACAGGTTGACCTAGAAAATATCTCGTGGATCTCAACAAATTCATGATTTTGATAAAGAATATGCTTTCCTTACACCGTCAAATCTGCCTGATAATTGTGCTTGTCAGCTTGGCGAATTTGATGAAGATACAGAAGTTCTTTGCCGTAGGGAAAAGATTGCGGCTTTTTGTGGTTGCATCGGGAAACCATAGAATAGACGAGCCTTTTGAACTTATGAGTTTTATAACTAAATATCACCCTCTGGAATCTGATCCGAATACCATGATGTTGCTGCGCATTTGCCTTACTCGAGCTGTTAGCATTGTCAGTAACAAGCGCTTATTTCTCAAAGCTCCAGCATATAAGGAACTACCTTAGATGAGCAATGGGCCAGATAAGACTCACCGATTGTGGCGATTCTCTTCATAGATTGCATTTTGATAGTGTAATCGATGACTGCCCGAAGGAAAGCGCGAAGTCTGTATATGTTGTATGTGAGTAACATAACAAGAAACATGTTTTGGCTCATAGGCGCACACTAAAAATCTATCTTCGGTTGTGGTTCTGTAAAAATACATAATTTAAAGATCTCGAAGTTTTGAAGTTCAACTGATTTTCACTTATCTGCAGGCTAGTGAAAATTTCGCCACCACCTTTGGCAGCAATATAAGTTGCTACGCCACTGCTTGCTGGCTATCATCTAATTTGTATTACTACATCGATGGGGTTACTTGCGCCTTATAAATGTTGTTAAGACCGACAACAGGGTGACCAACTCATTGATAACAGAAGGGCATTAGGTAATTGATATAAAGACTTCTTCGTGTTGATGCCTTCTATGCTCTTGTAAATTGGCCTCGGGATCCATCAATCAATTGCTGATGATCACATCCGATGTATCGCCGTCAACAATTTTTTGCGGGGGAATTTTCGCAGCTGGCTGGCTTCACATATTGTTTTTTGGATCTTTGTTTCAAAATCAGGATAAATAATGTAGCTACTGCTGGAAAGCCTGCATAGAAACGTGTATTGTGGTGGTCTTACAATCTTTTCGCCATAATTACTTGAAACACCGCTTACCTACATGAGGTTTTGACACAGAGCATTAGTCTCTTCGCGTTACTCTTAAGTACTCCTCTGGTACAATTTCATCCTTTTCTGTCACTGTTAGCCCACCTGTTCGATCATATATCGTATGAAGAGACCATCCCATATAACGGGTGAATCGTATAAGGATGTTAGCTACACTATCTGTGCCAATCATAGAGATTTAAACTTGACGTCGATAGTACCAAAGCTACTCATTCATCGCCGTACTGTGGAACGGGAATCCCGAATGTGAAATGAGCAAACCGCTTTTCATCTGGGACGAAGCTGTATAAACCATATATCTACTGTGTAGCTATTATCACAGTAGCGTTACACATGCTATGGGTTGACAATAAGCCTGTTATCCGATTTCAAGATTGCTCAGTGGATCGGTCCGTTCTGTTAGACCAGCTTGTGCGGAAATTCCCATTAAATATGTGGGCAATCTGTGTGCCGTCTACTCGAACACTACAGGTCGCGTCAGAGCATAGGGCGTCTTATCAGGCACCTTTCCGATAACAATTGGCATTCATCACGGTTGTCTAATTTCTCCATTTCTGCTCATCTTTGTCTTGGATTCCCTTGCGGATTCTCATAAGGTGGGAATTGTAATGCTGCCTGTTAGAAAATTGTTTGATCTGGATTATTCTGACAATCTCGTCTCGCCGTTTGATGATCGCGAGGCGGTACAGCCAAACCTGAAGACCCCTGGAGTGGTTCCGTCAGTTGACCCACGCTTCACACCTTCAAATTACAAGCGCCCTTGCAAGGCCGCCGGTCGCCCGATAATTCTCTGATACTTGCGAACAAGGAACTGGAGATGGAGGGTCGAATTACCAATCCTGACGTCTGCATTAGCAGCAATGGGCCTGTAACATCTGAGCTTAGTTCACATGTTGCGAAATCTTTACCGCATTCTCGTACCCGCAACATCTTTTGCGTCAATGGTTTTTCCCTCGGTCTGCAAACCTTCATCTACTAGGGCTCGATGACGGCCATTCTCTTCTATGACAGTGAGATTTGGTCCTTTCGACTCGAATATCTAGGACCCTTCCAAGTAGTTTGGCCTCCCTGTCTGCAAAACAGTGCTGTTGTCGGATGACACCACTGTGTCCGCAACAATGATCTGCACTAGCGAGTACCAGGCAGGGATAATCGTCACTTCCTTCGAGCAACAGTATATAAGAAGTTGCGCCGGCATTGGCACGTGCTTCGTTTCCCCGGTTACCGCTTATCGAAGGTAATCTTGCTTTGTGCTCCCGATTTGAGCGATCATCGGAATCGATGCGAAAGCTTCCTCCTTAGTGGATCACTCGACCATAGAACATTCTGCTTGTAGCGCTTACGGTGAGTCACCCTATCCACAAATGCAGAAAACACTGCTAACCCACTGCTGGACATTAGTCTCTTCGCGTTACTTATATCTGCTCTTCCGGTACAATTTCATGCTTTTATGTCACTGTAGGTTGAGAATGACGCGGAACGGTGAATTCCACAGGATACTTCTCTTGACGATTCCACCTTGACAGCCGTTCGGGACCGTATGATGCTGACAGATTATAGGCACCTTTATCTTGAATAGTTGATTAGGGCAGGTTGCTTTCGATCTACCCCCCCTAGTTTGTCATGGTTATATGGCAATGAGATGTCTGTCTAGATTACTGATATGTTGTTGGTGATTGCTGTCGCCACTCTTCGCTTTTATCTCGTTGGATTGACTTAACTCCATTCTCTTGTCCCAGTCCATATCACCTTACTCCCTCCAACCCGTTACCCCCAGTATGTTATTGCCCCCTTTCCTTTCTCATAACATCGGCTACCTAGCAGGAGTTCAGAAAATTTTCCAGAGCGTTTTTAGGACATCCTTAATGGAAAAATTGAAAAGAAATGGTGAGATAGGGCACCGTTTCGAGCTTCACTGGTGACAACAAAGGAAGGCGAAAGCTTACCATAAGCACTAACTCTTCCCCGACTGTACATAGCACGCAGTATGGAAACGGGCTTCCCGGCGACGCCATTCCTCAACAAACAATGCTACAATGCAAACCTGTCGACAGAATAGAGGACAGTGCGCATATCCAGGATCACAACAATCGTTGCCTTTTACTACACGTGGCGAAGCTCGAGGATCTGGCAAAGTGTGAAAATTTGATTGATGCAGCCGAGGTCAGGTCGAAACCCAGCTTTTTCTTCTCGGTTTAGCGATTCGCGCATTGGGGATAGCCTTCGAAGTTTGATGAACACCAAAAGCTTGCAGACGACGGGAACCAAACTTAAGCCTCTGTACGCAAGCCCTTTTTGTAGGTGGAGACGACTGTCGACTCAGTAAGTTCTCGAACCATCAAATAGCCGCCATCTTTGAATAAGGCGGGTGGTAAGCCATCAAGGCACGGTGCTTTATAGCGCTGCAAATGGCGGAGTTCCTACCAGATTTCCTGGTGAGAAGGAGGATCTGTGGGGACAGATCACTCAGCACCACTGAGCGCTCCAGGGAAATCAGATGGATCTGATGGCCAGCAAAACTGCTAGCCCGTCGTTGAAGATTAGTGATTAGTAGGCCATCCTCTTCGCAGATCGTTTCACTTACACCAGTGGCTCGGATAAGATGGAAAAGTTTTCTGGTATTACCAGAAAGGCTAGCGAGTTCCATCTCTTTAGCGCTTCCCCACCACCAAGTTCCACGGTCGTTTTTTAGACTCCTGTGCAATTCTCGATCTAGAGATCGTCGTCCCTCACTACAGCTAGCATCGGCCGGGACCGAGCGACGTCTGTCCATCAGCGACAAGGCGATAGCAGTGATCCATCTTTTTGGCGGATGATGGGTGACTCCGCAACTATCAATGCTGACAGAAACTAAAGCATTTTTGATGCGCATCCACAGTGCATTCACATCATCGTCATCAGAAGCTGGGGTAAGCATTGTTGACCGGGGGGCCTGGTATTTGGCTAACGTCGTATGGTCTTATAGGTTATCTATGCCCAAAAAACTAAGAACGTAGGAGAACAAATTTCGTGTTTGTGCGAGTGTTACAAAATAATCCATATTCTATCTATTTGTCGATGTACCAGTGTTTTTCACCAACACCGGATAGATTTCCGGACCTGGGAAAGCAATAGAACAGATGAATCAGTGGGCCAAGGTGTGCGTCACGTGCAGGTGCTTACTTAGCGTATTCGTAATTTTTGCCAGACTCCATGGACACCGTTTTCGTATGCGCTATCTAGACATTTGTACCACATTTTGACTATCGAATGCCCATTAATCACGGGCTTTAACTTAATCCGTGTGCAGTGTGTTCTGACATCGCCTAGAAGTCTGTTCTAAATGTTAGTGTAGTGGTTTAGAAAAAATGTTTTCTGAGTTTCCTGGTGAAATTCAGAATTTTAACCTTTTAATCCTTGCTGTGTATTGGTATCGAGGGTTCAAAGACATGTAAGAACTGTTATCGGCACTGTACATATTACGGTTTATGATCACAAAATCACACAGTTTCCGCTTCATTCTCCGTAGCCAGACAGTTAGTTCCAAACTGGACGCAACGCTCTGTGTATGTCTTTTTTGTGAAATGATCACATAACTTTTTCTTGAAGCGTCGCTGGACCCTCTTAGGAGAATATTAGTCTTTATTTCCCAGATTGAATTGGACCAATAAACAATATTCCATACTCGATAACACACATAATGTGTCGAGCCACATTCAAGATTCAGTGATGTAACTTTAAGTAGATTTGTAACCTAAACCTGACATTTATCATACATGCTTTTGAGTGCAGCACTACAGACCAGATACTTCATCTGATTTCGCTTTCATCCATTAACGACCCAAGTTATTCTCCCGATGACTTCTTTTTTCCGTGCAGAAACTAATCATTATCTGCTCCGTCGTCGGTGTTATCCTGCTTATTGTGATTCTCTCCCTGATCGGCACGCTTGTCCCTCGTTAATGAATTCAACCGACCTACACGGTTCCCCCTCTGTTCGAATGTTCTGTTTTCTCATCTGGGAGTGATCAGTTTTGGCAGCTTGAGGTGTTAATTTCGTGTTTTTGTTTCTGTCCCATGATATCGCTTACCTAACGAATTCGAACCCGTTGGACTAATATACCATCAGTAACTTTAACCAGGCGTCCTTTATGCGGTTTGCTCTGTTGGTGCATTTATCACGATCTAGTTCCCAAAGAACGGGAGTAGATATCTTTCGTTATTCCTTCTTTACCATTGCTTACTCGTTCCTGTGGCACCTGTATTAGTGCGCCATATTTTGATTCGACAAACATTTTCTTATGCAAATTTTTTCTAGAAAATATATCAATACGGTATCGCCACCTTGAGTTTTCCGCTTTGGCAAATTTTATGTACATGGGCATCTTCCATTGAGATGAGACTGGACCTTAATGTGATATGGTTGTTTGCGTGCCTCAACTATCCATTTAGCTATACTAGGAGGTGCTTTCTGCACCTTCAGACCCACTCATGCCAGACTGGTCAATGGTTAGAGGCCAGACGAACTCAGTCTCCTGCCCCTCGAGGTTGAGGGTTGGAGTGAGGATGGCTCCTTATTCCTTAAAACAGACTCCTTGTAGCCCACTGCCAAACCCGCTGCCTTGTGATCACTTTTTTGCACCAAAGGCTTTTGTTGAGAACCTTAATCGTTCTCGTTTAGGCCTGGACAACCTGAAAGTAACTTACCCACACAATACAATGCATTTCTCTTCAAACAATTCCCTCATGCTCTGGTTGCTGCAGAGGATAATCAACGGTGCCCTATCTGCCGCGTCGAGCAGGGTGAATGGGGTTTTGGATGCTGCTGTTCAGGTTTTCCCGTCGTCTTATTCCCCCTCTTGCACTTTTTCATCCATATCGTTTCGCTCCAACTCCGTTTTTATCCCCCTATCTTCAACCCTTCATGTTTGGCCGTCCATCTTGCCTTGCTAGGTATTTGTCTTTTAATTTCAACTCAAACACAATCGCAGGGCATCGCTGCAGTTTAGTCAACAAGTCCATGTCCAAACAAGCGCACGACTTCAGTTCATCCGTTTCCCTTTGGATACCTCGATCCTCGCTAAGACTGTCATGCCTCAATGTGTGCACCTCGTTGCAGTTTGGTCAACAGGCAGCACTTGCGCGAACACTAGAAACCCTGTCGATCGATGCTTGTTGTTTATCAGCAACCTGTGCAAGGTTCAAGCTTTTTCCTTTCCCTGCGACCCCCACCTGCGACACTGGTGGCACTGTGCCTGTCTGGCGACGCCGCTTCAAATGCTAATCAAGCCAGCGTGGGCATTGTTTTGAGTCCCCGGGCTGAAAATGCCCTTATCGATTGGATTCCAGTCAACAGCCGGATGTGCTCCCTCAGATTGTCTGTCTCGTTTCAGGCTTCGAAGTTGCGCGGGGACGAACGGTGCCTGTTTGTCATTGCGATCTACGCGTCCACGAACTCTAGCACTAACCCGACGAAAGATGAGTTCTATCACCAACTGAGCGGGATTTTCGTCACAGGAGTTGTACCGATATTATAGTCTTGGTAATCTGAACGCCAAAGTTAAAAACTGCCCAATGTCGAGCTTCATCTGGGCTGCCAACTTGGCGTAGACTCCCATAATGGTATCGGTGAGTGGTTGTTGCGCGTAGTGTAGACGCTCGTCTATTTCTCGCAAGCACTAACATTCGACACTGTACCCGAATAAGAGTGACTTGGAGCCCACCAGGCTACGATCAGCCATCTACACAAATCGTTCACATCGCATTAGAGAGGCTGGAGTGTGGACCCCGATCACCCCCTTATGTGTGCCGATCTTCGGGTGCGTTTCGGCGGACGTCCGAATCAGCTCTGTGAGTATATAGACACTTTCCAGGTGACGAAACCAGATGTCCTTAATATGTATCAAGGTAGGATGGCATGCGACCTGAGCAAGCGCTCTCTGAACACAGTGGACAGCCACTGTTCGCATATCCACATGCATGTTTCCATGTGGCAGTTCAAATTGCCCACCTGGACATTGGGCTTCTGTGCAATCTCTGGAACTCCTGGTTGCTTGCCGATACATTCCGGTCGGAGGCGAATACAACGAGACTCGCAAAGACCTCAGGGCGAATCTGCGTGCTATCCTGAAGAGAGACCGCGAATCCTGGTGCATCGGAGATGGAGATAGCCGCCGCTTATTCTATCTACCCATTTGATATGTGAAACCGGCAGCAAGAGACCTGGTATTAGCGATGTGAGTGAAAATTGAATCCACAGCCTGTCAAAACTGGGGGCGTTGGACCGAAACCTTGAAGCGCAGTTTACTCAACCAGAGTTTCCATCTTATCAGTCATTGATCGCCCTACTCTTTGGCCGTCCCCTAGGATCTGCCCTCATGCACAAAACTCGAAAGTGAGATCTAGCTGTTGGAATTGAACATGACCGCTGGAGCAGATAGACCTCCTCCAACCCTCTTCAAATACTGCGTACTTTCTCTTGTAGATGAATTGCATAACTTGTGCGGTAACCACAGAGAGACCAGTCTGATCTCAATTACCTTCTCTCTGTCATACTGCATAAACTGACAGACACTCGTAAAATTTAGATTCGCTAGGAGCAAGCCAGATGTCGCCGGAATTAGGGCTGGATTGACCACCCCTTCACCTTACGCCAATTCTTGAAACACCACTATATCTATTGGCGACGCACCATTGTCGTGTTCCTCCATATCATAGGTGCCTTCTCGGTGGATCGATGTGCCCTTTGGGACTGTTTGCACGAGAAAGGTGTGCGCGATTGACAAGTTAACATTATCAAAGCGCTGTATGCGCATAATCCGGGCAAAGTAAGAGTTTGTGGCAAACTGTCGCCACCTTTCAATATCTCCAGCCTGCTGTCACCTTTTCTCTTTAACTTCACCATTGACGACATCACGGAAACAGCATTTGCTGGACACGACCTAGAAAGTGTGGAGCTACTTCCTGATGAGCGATTTCTTGACTTAGAGTATGCTGATGACATTTCCCTCATATGTGTCAGCACCCGAACGTGCCAGACATCAGTAGACAGCTTAGCACTGGCCGTCAATTGTTTGGGCGTTACGTTGCACTCTCGAAATGCAAGTTCCTTCTCCAAGGTTGGCAAGGCTCCACCTCTACTTTGACCCTTGGTGGTGATCAGCTGGAGGTTGTTCATTAATTCATGTATCTGGGTAGTTATATTTATTGCCCGTGTGATCGAAGCTTAGACTGCCTACCGTATAGCAAGAGCTCTAGGTGCTGTTGCCAGTCTCCGTCACCTATGACGCTGACGCGACTTCACTCTCGCCTTGAAGGTCAGAGTTTATAATGCGACCGTCCGTTCATCTCTCCTGTACGGTTGTGAAACGTGGCCCATCAGGTCGACAGCTATAAAGAGACTAGGTACCTTCGACCATCGCTGTCTTCGCAGCTTAGCTCATGTCCGGTGGGGACACCGCGTGAGCTATGGATATGTTTGGCGTCGCGTATTTGGTGCAGGAAGAGCGAGTGAACCGCTCAGCAACGTTATGTCGCGCACTAGGCTCCGGTGGCTGCGCCAGGTGTTGCGCATGCCAGCCCACTGACTCCCGCGTCATGCGTTGTTTGCGTTCCCGCGGTCTGGATGGAAGAGATGGATGGGACGCTAAGCAATGACTTGGTCAAGAGGAATGAAAACCCTCACTTCGAAGTTGGCGTTGATTGGTGTTTTCGGACTGCCTGGCTCGGGTCCTAAGGACGATGAACATGTTTGGTCTAACACACTTGCTGACATGCCTAGAAGCCGGCCCTAATGGCGTTTGTGTTGCGAGTTTCTGTTTAGATTACCCCTCCACTTACGATCTCAGCAAATCAACAACATTATATTACTTGCTTTGAATCTTTCGTAATGTACTTTTTAATATCTTGTCGTTTTTTTATTTCAGCACATTATCTGAGGTGTGTTTCTCACCCTCATCTAGCCTGTATTGATGATGATGATTGTAGATCTTAACCCGGATCATCGCAGACCCGGACCTCTGCTCATTTTTTGCTTGCTTTCATTTTGCGAGCCCTGAAGTCAGCTTTGCTTGCATTCGCAGCAGACACTCCAGTGATCATTTTGTACCAACTCATATGCGCTAGAAACCATACTGTTAGCACTGCTATCAGGCCAATTGGGCATTTCCGCTCTCAGTAGAGTGCAGGAAGCCGTATACTGTGCCAGACTTGGCATCGTGTTAAGCTTGGTATTAAGGTCTCACCGGCGGATCTTTCGCTAGCTCACCTTTTTGTGTTTTGCCTCATTGGAAGCTGTCTGATTAATTTAAGGCTGAACTACTGTGGTGACGGTATCCAGGACTGTGGTTGTCCGTACGTGTCGTTTCTGTCTCTTTTATCCATTTCCTTAACTTGTATCTAGACTGTTGAATAGCGAAACTGCACATTGGAGCTCTTTGTTCTCTCTTGTTGTGATCTTTTGATCGCCTACATTGGCGGTTTGGTTCTCTGTCCGACATGAGGCGGTCAAGAAATCGAAAATACTTACGTTTTGCAGTTTGTTTTCTAGTATAGCAGTCCTAACATTTCTTGTTTCCCTGTCTACTCTTTTTTCCATTGGTAATTCTCGTTATTGTCTTGGCGAAGACTGTCGATACAATTGGGTCCGCCACAACGGTGCGGAAATCATGGTTGTTTAGCACAGCTGAACCGTTTACTGTCGTATTGAACTATCCGAGTGTTGATTACTATCACAGCCTACTCGTTGGTGATTGCCTATTCCTAGTACAGTTTGTGAATTTATTGTATAAATGACTGAAGTTCATTCAGCATGCCGTTCACTTGTCTGAAGATAGCGCACCGTCTCGATCAGATCTCATAACTCTCGTCCAATGGTCCTTCGGTTCTCCGCAGTGTATGCTGCTGCCACAGTCACAGCTTATTTGCCATTGTGCACTTGATCTGGCCCGATTCCTTTTCGCATGCTTCTACCGCTCCTCCCCATCTGTAATCATCAGTCTACTCTGTTGCAAAATTGTCGCCTCACATTCTTATTGCTCCCTGCTTGTGTGTTTTATCCTAACAATTCAATCTTTTTACTCTTATTTAGCTTTATAGCAACCCCTGTTTGTATCATCTTTGGCTTGATTTTGCGCCCCCCCCCCAGTTTCCTGTTGTTGTTTCGTGCCAGATATTCCCCATCTTTTCCCTATGCCTTTTCGCAATATCTGCCATATCGCTTCATTCGGTGCTCGTGTTTACGCCACTTCATGGTGCGAACTGACGGAACATCGTTTTCGCGCGTCTGTCCATTACAGGTTACGAACTCATTCAACCGTTCCATGTCATATTGCCTGCGTATAGGTCGTTATCAGACTTCGTTCTTTGATAACTCTATCATTTTACTAGCTTATCTTGGTAGACTGTAACACCTGGTGGCCTTGCGCATTTATTTTCCTGACCGTTTGCAGTGGACTTGTTTGGTTTCAGTTGGATGCCTAATACTTGTGTTCCTTTTTATTGTGTCTGAATCTAACTTGGTATCCCGTCAATGGTTGATGCACATTTTCCTTCATTCCACATTTTGTGTCGTTATTAACACGGACCCTTTTGTAACTTTCTGTTTTGATCAGATAAAATTCATTTGTATCGGAATCGTCGCTGCAGTCGTGGTTATTCTAGTGATCGTTCTGGCCGTGACCCTGAGGTAACTCTACACCGATGGGCCATCTGTTCGAAGATCTGACAATCCACCTAACTGCTTTGTCTACGTCTCATTATCGAGATATGACGGCGTTCCCACAAAATGACACAATCAGTCACGCGTAACATTGTGCCTTGTACTTTGATTTTCCCGGATCCCTCCCCGAACTTCCATGCAGAGCACTCCACCATTATTTTTGTTGCTTATTTCGAACTCTTCTGTGTTTGTACCTCAAGAATAGCCTTATCTTGTTTCCCTCATGTAACTTTTTTCCTCTCACTTTTATTTCTGTTTTCACCTCGCATGCATCTGACACATTTGGATATTATCGCATTGCTGACTCTCCTCTTGTCCAGCTTTCCCAGTGACTTGTGTTCACATAAGCTTTACTCAGTTAGTTTCTACTCGTTTCTGCACTGTTATGCGACGATTAACTTTTCAGATACTCTTTCCAAAGGATTAGTCAAAAGTCAATATTGGTGGTGCTGGTTGGTTGTTCCGGTAAGCTGCATTTCTCTGCTGTTTTCGCTACGGCTGATGCTCTGGTTTTTGCGCATCAATTGTTGATCGTTAGCTAAATTTTCACTCAATCCGCAGCCAACCCTGCAAGCCTCCACTTTATCTCATTCTACACCATTGAACTAATTACGATGACTGCAATTCGTAGTGCTGTTCATCTTACCTTTTGCGTTCCAACGATGCAACCGTCGTGAGATCGAACCTACTACCGAGTTAGACTTTAGCTATTCGGCACTTCCACGTCGCTCTTCATGGATTATCGTACATCAATGCAGGAGACTTCACAGGGTTCGTAAGTAACGTAGTTTGCCACCCGCGTGAAACATGGAGGTTAGGTTACTGTTGCTATCCTAGTCCGTTAGTTTGCCGCCCCGTACCCTTAAGGATCACAAGTCCGTCTTGTAATTCGAGGGCACGGATTCGAGACTGCGTAGGGACCGGTCGACCCTCACAGTAATCTTAGCCCACGTGCGGCTGATGGTGATTGCGCGCCAAGTTTCATCATTCATTCATTATACACCTTAGCTAGAGGTGGGAAGCACATCAGCTACTGTGCCGCAATACACAAAGGAAAAAGGAGGAAAATTCAACAGATGTAAGTCAGCTGAGCTACCAGTAACTGATGGGCATCGTTCCTGTAAGCTACCAGCCGTCTTCTATGCAGCAAAAAAAGTTAATATGCAAAATTATATAAGGCTAAATAGTGCGTTAGTGATTGGAGTGAGAGGCTAGGAGGGATGAGTGGGACAAAGAAACTCACAACACAAACGCCCTTGTGGTCCGCTCCAATCCACGTCAGCAAGTGTATCCAGCCAAACGTGTTCGTCGTCTTTCGGACTTCAACCAGGGAGCCGAGACGCTCCAACCGAGGCCAGCTTCGAAGTGAGGGCCTTCATTCCTCTGGACCAAGTCATCACCCTGCTCTTCTTTTATTCACACCTCCGGCGCGCAAACAACGCACGTCGCCGGGAGTCGGTATGCTGGCGTACGTGACACGTGGCCGAGCCATCGGATCCTGGTGCAAAATATAGCGGTGTTGAGCGGGGTTATTTCCTTTTCCTGTGTCGTAAACAAGGCGTCGAACACGCTCGTTGCCCACTCGGTGTTCCCACCAGATGTGAGCCAAACTGCGAACGCACCGGTTGTCCAACGTAACTACCCTCTTTATGTCCGCTGATCTAATGGGACAAATTTCACAACCGTACAGTAGGCTCGAACATACAGCTGCATTGTATAATGTGCACTGCAGATTGGAACCTTTGTGAGCTGTCACAGATTAGGGCAATGTCGTCAACATGCTCCAAGTCAAGATGTCGTTCTCCTGGGAGTAGCTCCACACCTTCTAAGTCATGTCCTGTGAACTCAATTTTCACGATTTCGTCAATAGCGAAGTTGAAGATGAAAGGTGACAGCGGGCATCCTTGTTTCACACCGCTGGAGATATTAAAGGACGGCGACAGCTACACACGTATAATGCTCGGATAATATTTACATATTTCTCGGGCAGACCTTTCCTGACTAGGCAGTCCAAAAAGGCACCTCCATCCACTTAATCGAAAGCACCTTTGATGTCGAGGATCACTACAACGGTGGACCGCTAATATATGTGCTCCAAAAACTGACGCAAAATGAAGACTTGGTCAATGCAGCCACGACCTCTACGAAACCTGACTTGCTGTTCACGAATCTGGCTTTCACTTGCGCCAGTCAGTCTGTGAAGGATGACAGAGTCAAGTACTTTGGAGACGATCGAGATCAGATTAATTCCTCTATGGTTGCCGCATTGCGACCGTGAGCCTCCCTTAAAAATTGGGACTGTGACGGAGCGGCTACAGTCCGTTGAGACAGTTTCCTGCTCCAACCGTTTAATTAGTAACACAAGTAAATCATCCACAAGAACAGAGTCCCCAAATTTGAAGGGGGCTAGAGGAAGATCTTCTGGTCCCGCGGCTTTATTTATCTTCAACAGTCCGATCTCACGTTCTACTTCTGAGCGAGAGGGCGGATCAAAAGGGACAGCCAACGGAGCAGAGCGATCAGTAGCCGGCGAGAAATCTGATAAGTCCGATCCGTTAAATTGCGTTTCAAACTGCTCAGCCCAACTCTCCACGCTTTTTGACAAGTTGTGGATAGGCTGTCCACTCTCGTCACGTATAGTTTCACTAACACCAGGTCTCCTGCTGCCCGTTTCTCGTATCAGGCGGAATAACTTACGATGGCTACCAAGAGCAGCGACCATTTCCTTCTCTGGTGCTCAATGAGACCACCAGAATTCGCGGTCTCACTTCAAGCTAGCACGGAGTTTTTCCCGGAGCACTGCGAGTTTCATTGTGTTCACTTCCAGCCGGAAAGTGCGCGGCAGGAAGGCTGATGTGTGTGCTTCTCACTCATTACTCGTTTACCGCAACCTTCCCGTATTTTATTTCAGCCTACATGCCTCACTTGTTTGCTGAATGAAGCCTAACCTCTCGGTCTCATACACTTCTCACTCGTCGTATTCTTCCTCATTCAATTTCATTAAAATTTTACAGTTTTTTAATGCGTAATGAGTCTAATCCTCCGGTCAGAACGTTTTGGTGCTAATCTCATCAACACGAACTCGGCGAAACAGTGAACTCATTATTTGATATGTTTACTTATTTTGGACACCGTCGACTCACTTCCGTTCAGTAAGCATCAAGTGCTTCAGTAGTCCAATGTGACAATGTTGCCACTACCGTATCTAATAGCAAATGTTTCTTATGCGTATTGAACAGGCAGTTGATCTCAATGCCCTGTACGCGACGCCATTTGCAACGGTTGTAGAAGAAAAGGACATAACCAGAAAGTTTGTCGTTCCTCATCCAAAACTACTGCTTCGGTGCTACTTGGTTGTCTGTCCTTTATCACCGTCGCAGCGGCGTCAAACCGTCTCTCCCACCTCGTCATCGATGTGCTCATCAACGACGTTCCTCTAAAAGTTTCGGTTGACACTGGAAGCACTGAGAGCTACATTGTCGCATCGGTTGTTAAACGGTTCAGCTGGAATATCCTCGGTTCTCATTGCAAGATTTCGATGGATAGCGCTCACTTAACAAGTTTCACCAGTGGTCATTGTCTTGTCAATATGCAGTATAAAGACCATCATTACACAGGCGGTAAACTGTCCTACTCCCAAACCTTTGTTCAGATGTTCTTTTGGGACACATCTTTCTTAGGCGTCACCTATTGGTTCAAATTCCATTCTTTAGTGAACAACCCACTCTCTTCGTGCGCATTATTTGCCACCGATGTAGATCCTCCCTCCCTCTTTGGAAACGATGCTTCCACCTACAAACCGATCGCGTCCCTCTGCTGCGGACGAGAGGTTTATTTGTGTGGAATTACAAAAGCTTCTCAAAGGCGGAATCATCGAACTGCCGGTGTCTCCGTGGAGAGCTCGTTTTAGTGGCCACGAACGAGACTCATAAACGCCGTATGGTTGTTGATTACAGTCAAAAGACCAACCAGTACACTCATCTAGATATGTATCCTCAGCCTAGAATTGATGCTTTTGTGGACAAGATTTCTCCTTACTCGGTGTACAGCACTTAAGAGCTAAAGACTGCGCATCACCAGATTCCTATTAATAAAGCGAAAGAAAATTCACCACATTTAAAACCTGCGGAAGTCTCTTCCAGTTCTGTCTTATACTTTTTGGTGTGACCAACAGAGTCGCCTGTCTTTTTTTGCGTTCATCGCAATCAGTTGACAATTCAGATAACTCAACTACCAATCCGGATTGGCAGTTGAGTTATCTGAATTGTCGGCTGATTGCGACGAACTCAAAAACACTCGCCAACTTCCTTCTACTCATACGGAGTTGTTTGTTTTCAGTGGGTCATCGACAAAGTAATAACCGACGAGAATTTGAACGTGACATTCGCCTACATTGACAACAAAACGGTGTGCGGTGCAACCGAGGGAGAGCATAATCATAATCTAACAAAGCTTTAGAAAGTCTCTCGAAAACAAAACCTAACATTCAACGAAAGCAAAAGCATCATACGTCCGAGAAAGATACGACTACTGGGGTACGAAGTTTCACACGAGGTTATTCGACCGGACCCAGACCGACTTCAACCTCTGAGATGCCTGCTCGCACCCACTGATCTAACATCTCAACAGCGTGTTGTCGGGGCATTTTGCATATTATTCCCAATGGATTTCACATTCCTCTGACAAAATCTGCCGGCTAATTAATAATCACTGCTTCCCCCTCCCCATTCTGCTTTCAGGGGCATTCAAGAATATCACAGAATAAATAGAAGACTCTGGTTGTCTCTCTTGATGATTCCAAACCCTTGGTAATTAAAATGAATGCATCCGATATTCCTACTGCTGCCACACTAACACAGAACGAACGATCAGTAGCTTTCTTCTCACGAACGTTCTCCGCCAACGAACGACGCCATTCAGCCATCGAGAAGAAAGCACATTCTATCGTTGAGTCGGTCCGCAAATGGCGGCATTACCTAATAGGCAACCGCTTCACCGTTATTACGGATCAGCGATCTGTCTCATTCATGGTTAACCTTAATCAGAAGGGCGAGTTCATGAATGGTAACATTCGGCGCTGGCGCGTTGAACTCTCATGTTATACTTATGATTTGGTTTATCGCAATAGAAACGATAACGTAGCTGCATGCGCTTTATCACGCCCATTTGGCTCATCATAATCACATGCCATAACACTTCAGGAATTAATGATACTCTGTGCCATCCTGGAATCACTAGAACGTCTCATCTGGTTCGTTCACTTAATCTCTTTTTCAGTCGAGATTGTGAAAACGATGACCGCCCGCTGCAGCATTTGCGCTGAGCTAAAACCTTCATTCTACCAATTGTCTGGAATGGTCATCAGGGTCAGGCATCATTTTGAAAGACTAAACATGGATTTCAAGGGTCCTTTGCCCTCGGCGACAAACGAGAAATATCTATTCATCGTCGTTGACGAATTCTCT